TTTTGAGAGAGAATTTGATGCACAAAAATGTATCTCTGGAGGTAATTCGTCATTCGAATTGTGCAAAACGTTTAAAACTCTCTTCGGATGAATCCAAAGAGCTATCACGTCGCAATATATCTGAGCTTCCTGTAAAGTATTCTAAAAAGCCTATTTTTCATAATACTTATTGCAATATTATCTCGTGTATTAAAGTTTTATATTTTATCTTTGCAGGATGAAATATTACTAATGATATTAAAAAACTTGGATCTGATGACGTTACGTCGCTTGAATTATGTAAATAGACGCTTCAATGATTTGATACGAGACCCACGACTCTATACACGTTTAAATATACACTGTTCACCTTCCGCAGAGTATTTTGATAATTTTCGGCTAAATATAGCAACACGCGATATGAGCAATATATTTTGTTACTTTAAATCTAGATGTAAATATTTGCAGCAGTTAGATCTTACAAAAAGTATATTTAGTGTTGAAGATTTTAACAACTTTCTTGATAATTGTGGTAGGCGTTTAACGCACTTAAGATTAGGATACTGCCATTCTATCCATAATCTTGCCCTACTTAAAATTTCAGAGATATGTGTAAATTTGAAAGGTATATATATACATATAAAGTATATGAAACATGTGATTGTGTCGGGATTATTGGTGAATTGTATATGCCCAACACATATCTCTTTTTAGAATTGAATCTTGATTATTGTCATGGCATAGACGACAAAGGATTTTCGTATCTCGAGAAATTAAATGGTTTGGAACATTTAAACCTTCGTAATACAAGTATAAAAACTGAACGCCTTTACAAAATACTGCAAAAAAATCAACGGATGCGTGAGGTCAATTTTAAACTTTTAGTCTGTATGAGAAATACAGCTTTAATACAGTTTATAAATTTGTGTCCTAACCTGGAAGTAATACGTTTAGAGAACTTTATTAATTATACATCGCAGGATATTGACGTTTTCGCTGACTGTAAGAATTTACGAAAAGTATATCTTCCCCGGTAAGTGTGTTTTTTAATTTTTTTTAAATACATTACTATATTCTTGATTGAAATTTGTGTTTGCTTCTCTTGCATTTCGAGGATCTTGAAAAAGTTACATTTTCTTTGGGCTTTCTTATAGAGAAAACTCTACTGTTTCTTGTAAAAAAAATTTTCAGTTTTCTTTGCCAATGTGTTCTAAATATTTTAAAATGTTGAAATATCTCATTTTTACAAAATGTCCGTAGTGCGCGCGCGCGCGCGTGTGTGTGTGTGTCTGTGTGATATCGGGTTAAATTTTTTTTAATCAATAGAATCATCAATAGATCATTAAAGGAAGGTTGGTATTGAATTTGGCGATGATCGTTAACGGAGTTCTTTAACTTTATAAAAATTTTGAATGTTTTGAGAAATGTCCGTGGTAGCTCTAACTTTCGCAAATTTTGAGATATTGGGCTATTTATAATTCCATTATATTCTTCAGTTATTTCTACCCCTATTTCATATATAATTCTTTAAAATTTGTTTGATTATACTTAGCTTTATACGCGATCAAAGGTCTCTTGTGCTACTAAGCTGATCTTCTATCAATTCATAAAAAAATTAAACTTAAAATTTGAAAAACAGTGTGCAAATTAGGAACTCGCTTTTTCATTATTACAGATCGATCGCTACCATTGCTCATATTTTGTTTGTTTCATAAAGTTTTCTCTATGAGGAAGCCAAACTAATAAATACTAATAATTATGCATCAAGCAAAATACAATCTTCCTCATAAGAAGAAGCTTTGTGAGCGAAATAAAATGTTAAATTGTTCTGAATATAGGAGCAATGGTAGCAATCTGTAATGATGAGAAAACAATGTACAAATTTCCAATTTGCTCACTTTTTGTAATTAGAATACTATAATAGTCATATGATTTTTGTTACAGATTTCAATGTCCAATTGCTGATTACTCCAATCGCTTGCACAGATTACTTCCTTCCTGGCAACGTCTGGAATTATTTGCTTTATGCTGTATTGTCCTCACTGATCACAATTTGAAATTATTAACGCAGTGCAAAAACTTAAAACAGTTACAACTTTATTGGGTGAAACTTGTTACACCTGATAAGTGTTTTACCATTTTGGAACAATGTCCAAAACTGCAAGAGTTTCGTCTCATACATTGTAACATTAACGATTGTTTGATTAACGAATGGAAGGAAAGATATCCGCATGTGTCCATCTGTACACTTGAATGATGATTTGAATAGTTTTGTTAACCTATTTGGGATATATGTATTAATTTACTTTTTAAAAATTATCTAGCGAACTATTATAGATTGTAAAAAAAGTTAATGCCTAATAAAAACGAAATATTCACATTTATTTATAATTTATTTTAGAACAATTTTATCTTTTTTTTTCTTTTTTGTAATTTGACTCTTTTAGCAGATGGTTATTTTTTTGTTTGGAATGGTTGGTTAGCAAAATATTAAAGCAAACTGTATTAAAGTATTCCTTTCACGGAGCAGCGTATTTTGTAGGCGCTTAAGCAGGGCCTCAGCAAACTCTTGTATATTGCATTAAACTTATATAAAATTAAGTTATAATTGATTATTATGTTTAATTATAAGAAAAAAGTAAAAATATTATGTGTATTTAGAAATTTTTCATTTTTCGGTAAATTTTACTGTCAGAACAATATGGCAACGCTGCGCTTTTCAGGGCGCCGATTGTAAAATGTGAAGTTGATAACAAAAGTGTCAATGTAAGTGTCAATTTTATTAATCAAAGAATATTGTGACATTTTCTTTTTATTAAACAGAGATTTTATAATAATAATGAGTGATAAGAAACATAAAGTGAGGAGTAATGTGGGCAAAAATAAGGAACAATTTGTGAAAATAAAAGTTGATAATAAACCGTACATTATGAATGAAGTGTGACATGAGCGCACAGCTTGCAGCGCCAGCGTTGCCAAATAATTCATTGAAAGTCGCCATCAAAAATATTCATCTATAAACCACATTTCAAGTTAACTTTTAACATAAATATTTTGTTTAAATATTCGGTGACTCTGTATTTTTATCGGTACTATCGAAAGTATAGAGTTTAGCGAATATGTAGCGCAGTTAATATTTAATATCTCAAGATATTTGATAAACAAATTATTACATTGAAATGTAAAAAATAGACTTTTTCGATAACGTCACATATAAAATATCGAATTTTCAACGTCATAATTCTTTATATGTTCGGTAATGTGGTTTAACTTTTTTCTGGCGTAAAGATATGCATTTTAACTTTCTCGTACCAAAAAATCATTTAATTCTTAAGACTTTGGTGTCATGAAAGGAATACTTTAAGGCTCTTGAGCTCTTTACGCTATCATGTAAGATTGTGACGTCAGAAGCGAGAAATGAGAATTCTTGCGTGCCATTTCCAAATAAAAAGATATTTGCATAAAATAAGCATTTCATATCACTTCAGCATACTTCAAAAATAGTCCGAGGTGCGCATGATCTTTACGTTTGGTATATATTACTACCATCAATAAAGTTACCAATTGACAATATTTTAGATTATATGCATAATAATCGTGCACACATTCCTGCATTCTTATTGCATTATTTTCTGAAATTATATTAGATAAAAAATTTTGCAAACATCGGCTTGATAAGACGCTTAGTACCCAATTTGGGTATCAAGATGGATACATACAATTTCAGATTGTATTATAGATCAATTTTTACTAGGCATACAATTACTATATAATCTAAAATATTCAACATATAGTTTCTATCGTGGCAAAACGAAACATATTCATACATGTCGATAAATTTGCTTTCGGCAAATACTCTTTTTTCTAGTGAGCCCACAGCAATAATCACCGCATAAGATATAGTACCGGTACCGGTACTTTGAAGAAATGTATTATACACAGCTATCTCCGGACCTTCGCATACACTTTGTAAATGTGCGGACAACAACTTTTTTTTGGTACTAAAATTTAAAAAAGTTAAATATGTCAATAAAAATTAACCCTTAGCTGGCACACTTCACCAGAATCACATAACTGGCACACTGGGGCCGTTTCAGACCCTACCACTAAAATATGCTTGCTGCGAGGAAGCTATTGATTTCTTTTTACTTAAAAAAATTCCAAGATAGTCTTCGAATGTTATTTTAACAAATGTCACAGGTTATATTTTGATAAAATGTAATATTAAGTATGAAAAGAATTGGAGAACGTAAAAGGAAACAAAAAAATAACTGTTTTTACTCAAAAATTCATAACTCTTCTATTTTAACTCTTCCATTTTTTAGTACCATTTTCGTACTATAGGGGGGCTTAAATTAGAGCTGAACTAGGGTGGGGCATTTAATACCCCACAGTGCCAGCTAAGGGTTAAATATATATTTTATTCTAGTTTAACTGAAGTAATTTCTAAAAAAATATTGTCACACTTTATGTGTAAAAATATTTAATTTCTCTTTCATTAACGTTCTTATTTCTTTGTAAATTTTTATTAGTTTTATTACTAATATCAATAATAATCTATCGATTGTCATTGTTTTTATGTAAATGAATATTAATGCGAAATGCATACAAATAGTGTTTAAATTTTTACCGTATATAGCAGAGTATGCAAATTTGACGGATAAGATGTCTTGGCAAGGAAACCGTGCTGTAGAACATATTAGCTGAAAAAAATTGGACTTTTATACATTTTACATTCAGGTAGAAAAATATTATTGTTTAGCCAGTATACCTTGTTGTTGTTGTTGTTAGACAATAGGAAAGGATATAAACCGTATCAGCAGTTTACGCTGTTAGTCAGAATAGTGCAGGAGAGTTTGGTCTTGTTTCATATTCAATTTGAATTTTACATCTGAAAGTATCGTATTGTGGATGTATTCAATGTTTACATCGATAACTTTGAATAGAGATATGTTTCTCTATAAAAATATCTTATAATTCTTATATTTATAGTTGTACAATATTATACTATTTCTGATCTGTCGAAAATTTCTACTCTTTCATCGAGCTTTACTCTTGCAAACCTAATACATGTAAGTGATTTTTATGGGAAATTTGATGCTCTATATGAATCCGATAATCGTTTATGGATATTTTCAAAATTTTCATGTTTTTGAAGTGACAAAGGTGAAAAACGACGTCTGGGGCAAAGTCAACACCACGCCGTTTCGTCGGCTTCCAGTAACAAACGATGCTTGTCATGCAACCCTTATGACAAATGTATGCGCACGTCCGATCGCGAGTTTACCTGCATTAATTGTTTTTCAGACATGAGTTTAGATGAAGATAATTGAAAGTTTGACAATTTTTGTGCTCATTATTTCAAATGATTCTAGCTACTCTATTCCGAATTTTTGTACTTTTTAAATACACAATAAACAATTTATTTTTATTTTCAGACAGTAAAAAATATGTTCCAGATCAAATTGTGTCGATCAGACAAGGTGAGTTTGCTCCGGCGGGGTGTCGAGTTTACCCCGGCATTTTTTAATTCGAAAATTTGTCTTTGCGTCACTTTTCCTTTCCTGGCGGCAAAACAAAACGACGTACAGCAAAACTTTTTGAATCAATTTTGTACCTGAAGGAACACTCTTTAAATATATACCATTAAATTTGCCTAAAAATTTTAATTAAATATTAAAAATTGCCTTTGAAAAAATAGTGTCGAGTTAACCCCGGTCTCTCCTACACGCGGCGTTACAGTGGTCTACGCCTCTACGCCCAAGCAACTTCAAAAAGCGTATTCAAAGACGACTGTGCTAGAAAATAAAATTAATTAATACTAATTTTAATAATTTCTAAAGATTTAAGAAGAAAAATAGAAGATTTCTATTTTTGTCTAGAGTACTCTTTTTGGAGGTAATTTTTAGAATAAAATAAATTTAAAACTGTTCAAGTTTTTTTCTGAAATTTTTTACACGTATTTATTGTTGCTTTAAAAACATGTATAAATTCTGTTAGAAAAAAAAGAAATTTAACATATGGTTTTGTACAACCGGGCAACATGGTGCCCTTTTGATTGGCGACCAGAGTTGCGGACGTTGTATGTATTTGAAAAAAAACAACCAAATATATTCTTCATCTATAATGTGAGTGTTGTAAGAATTGGTACCAGATTTGGCAAAAAAAATTTTTTTTGTACAAAATAGCGACATGCTAAATGTTAATTGTCAATTTTCCTTACGTTTTTTCCTTTTCAGCGAGTTATAAAAATAAAAATAAATAATTATTTCAATTCTGGTACCAATCCTCACAACACTCATACAAATTAAAAATATGTTTGGTTTTTTTTCAGATACATATAACATCCGCAACACTGGTTGCCAATCAAGGGCGCACCATTGTGCCTAAGCGTACAAAATCTCATGTTAAATATTTTTTTTCCAACAAAATTTACATATGTTTTTAAAGCAACATAATAAATATATGTAAAACATTTCTGAAAGAAAACTTAAAAGTTTTAAATTTATTCTATTTTAAAAATCACTTCCAAAAACAGCATTGTAGACAAAAATACCCCGGCCCTTAAAATTTTCATATTATTTTGAAAGATAAGTCGACAAACCATGAAAAATTTCCTCTTCAAGCTTTACAAAAAAGTAATTCTCAAAAACTCAGTGGTCAATTAATTATTTATTATTAATCATGTGCCAATTAATCATTAATTCATTGATTGTACTAATCGCCTTACAGTAATAAATGCTTTTTCAATATTACGAAGAACTTCCTAAACGAATCTTCGCATTTTGTTGCGGTCATAAATCATGACGATACGTTTAAAGATTCTGCTAAGTTGAATAACAAATATGTAAAGAGATACACGACGTCCTTGGTAACGCAATCGGTAGTAAGTTTGCTGAGGAAAGTGCTGATATTTTGTCGTAACTTTCCTCATCTGTCAACGATGACTAAAGCGTCGTCTACAATACACAGAGTAAGCGTGGAGTAAAAAATAAGAGTAGGCAAGAGTAAGCATTATAGCCTGTTGCGTCCTGATTGGCCGAGCGTAAGTGTAAGAATAAGAGTAGGAGTAAGAAATAAAATTAATTTATTTCGCTTACGCCTTCACGCCAACTTTCTTAAACCGAAAATAGCCCTCTTACGTTTACTCTTACTCTTTACTTCACGGTTACTCTGTGTATTGTAGACGACTCTTAATAGTTGCACATTTTAACAAGACAACACTCCTGCCTGAGCTCAATCGTGCAGTAATGTTATTTCGGGAAAATCCCAGTGATTACAAAAATCATGCGCTATTCTCGATCGATTTTTTCTTGCGAGACTTCTTGGAGTTATCATTTTCCGAACGAGAATAAACTTTAATTATTCCAATATCCAACCGGTTTTTTCTCTGCCTCTTTCCCTTTTATTTTACTCTCTCATTCCTCATATCTCCTCTCTACGTTTATCTTTCAGAAAAAATTCCTGCTACTCCACTTTGCCTTTATTTTAATTTTATTTATAAACGACATTAATTTCCTTTCTAGAAGAAGATTAATTTTGTCGTTTTTTAAAATTTTTATTTTAATGAACAAATATGTTTTTTTCAAAAAATTACGCCGTTAATTAAGATCAATTTAGCAACAGTAGTAAATATATGTTTATCTAGCTTCCATGATTTTAGAACTTAATTGTGAAATAACATGAAATGATTCTTGAAATCGTTTATAGAGAAACATATGCATGTGCAGTGTCGCCAGTGTTTAAAGTTTATTGCATAATTCTTCAAACGCAAATGATAAAGTAAGAGAAAGATCTATCTATAACTTTTAAAATGTAATTAATAAAAGGTTAAACACTGAAAGTTTTAAATAAATTAAAAATCAAATTTTTAAAGAAAACTGGTAACAGAATAATATAATGTACAACGTACAAAATAAAAATTAATTCTCTAGATAAAAATTATAAAAATCTTTCAAAACTGCAGGTCGATTCTAAATTTATCGAAAGCGTGAATTCAAAAGAAAAATTTACTCTATACAGACATATAACATTATTTCTGTGAACCGGATGTACGTAAACAGCATCAATATCAACATTCCTGGAACTATTAATTTGCATCATAACGAATTATTCTCAACGATAAAAATTCGCGCATTTCCGCAAGGCACGAATCGCCAGATTCAGCTTTAATTGGCCGTTACGAATCACGGCAACCGATGGATCATAATCGACGATCGTCCCCACCAAACTGACAGATTTAATAGGTCCAGCAAGTGGTGAAGGAGCTTAGTCGATTGGCGACTCACAAGCAGCCGATTAGTACTGGTTTTGGTCTGACCCGTGATACACCTCGGATTGAGTGCGGACTTGTCACGAGAAACCGACGCGAATAGCGAGTGGGATTTATCGCATTGCTCAACAAAGGGCGAGCTCTCTGACCGAAGCGCGCTAATCGGTAAGAACCATCGGAGCAAAATAGGAAAATCCCCGGCTTGCACTGATCCGTGATAGAGAGAAGAGAGAAGAGGGATCGAAAGAAGAATAGCCAGAAAGTAATTTCGAGATTGATTGGCGAAGAGTTGTATGCTGATACCACAAATAAACATGATGTTCATCGGGACGCTCGTCCTTTTCCTCGCTCTATCAACAATCGATGCACGTGAGTGGTTCATTAGACGTCAATTCTAACGTCAGTTCTTCGTTGCATGAGCATTTTCATTTGAAAAATACGTCAGTTCTAACAGCAAATTCTTGCTTGATCAAATTTTTTAAAAATTCATGTTCTTATTTTAAATCGTAAGAATTACATTTGACACAATTAATTGACATATTAAAAATTTAATGCATCCAAGACTTTTATCATATATTTGTATTTACATCGCGATGCTTTTCCAGATGAATGTTCCATTTGAGATAATTTAAATTATTTCTACATATGTACGTTTGAAAATTGGTCATGCGATCCATTCTAAAAGATTCATTTTAAACTTCGATAAAATGTGAATTTTGTCCTTAGAAAATTGTTACTTAAAAATATTGATTGAGTAAATTAAACAATGATTTACTGTTACAGAGATAAGGTGCTCGAATGGAAGTGCTGATTGCATTAACATTCGCAATTGTCCAGAGATTATAACAATTCTGAGAGGTCCAAGACCACTTTCGGCAGAGGCGTTGCGAACTCTTAGAAACTCACAATGTGGCTTTGAGGGCATTTACCCAAAGGTTTGTTGCAACCAGGTAATTGAACTTGATCTAGACGCATTAATTTATTGATAAAAACATTAACTTAGAACTAACTATAATTTATTGAAAGCAAATAAAGTAATAAAGTAAATTTAATTAACGTGTAATCCACAATTTCTAATTCAAGAAAAAGAATTTAATTTAATTTTACTTAAGGGGATGCTGGAGTGACGGCCGAACTTCCTCGATGTCGATAATGTCAACATTTCTAATTTTGTTTTTCCTGTATCTGTCTTTGTCTAACGAAATCACATCTGTCCTTGTTCGATTGCTGCACCATCTCTCGCTACACGCAATACTACTCATCATATCAACCTGCATGTGCTTTTGCATATATAAAAGTTGAGCAATGCATATAACTTTTTTTTCTAGACTTTTATCTTAGTTCTAATTTCACGATATTGTTGTTCTTAAATGTTTTCCTTAAGGGTGCTGTAATCTCATTATATACATAAACTGCAGTATTTTTGTATTAAGCAAATATTGTCGTCAGTGACAGCTCCTATATGCCGAAATTTTTATTTTTTTTTGTTTTTGATGTAAACTCTACTGCAACACCCTCCGTTTTTGTGCGTACTTTAATTGTAAAAAAGTTTTTTTAATTCCGTAAAGCCAATTCAAAATTATGTGTGTTCAAAAAAATGTCGGTAATTACTAATTACTGCCACTACAGCATCCCCTTAAAGCTAATTTAATTAAAAAGTAAACAGAATAAACTAGAAAGCAAAAAGAGATTCTAATTAAGAACTATAATGCTTAAAAAAACACACTTCTTTTGCAACTAAATTATTGTAGCAAATTTGTATTAATGATTTTATTCTTCTATTTGTTTCCGATTCATTGCTAGTTTCGTAAATAAATTTTTGAAATGTCAGAAGATTATTTATTGATTTATTGATTGATTGGTTCTCATCAAGGACATCGAGATTAATGCGTTTCGGATGACTTTTTATCATTTCCACGTGATATATCACATTATACATATACATATCGCATTATGTCGTCATTCGTGTACGTTATAAGGATGCGTCGTCGCTGCGAACCGTTTAATCGTCTTCTGAAATAATACTGAAACAGATATCTGTGACCTCGAGTTTCCGTTTTATCCCGATCTCGTTGTATTAGCAGGACATCGAGTTATAGAGCTTTATTATTCGTTGAAATTTGTTTGTAAAATTTTTTATTATACCGCGCGTAACGACAAAATCAGAGATTTTCCTGCAATCAAAAGCTGTCTTATTTTAATCTTAAGGATATATATTTTCAGAACAAAGTAATGAAAATATTTCTACGCACAATTCTCCCATTTTTAAGGATTTTTAATATTACTTTGTGGACGCGCGTTTGTAATAATTGGACAATTATGCGTAGGGTGCATGTTTGTAAAACACTTATAAATTGTTTGTATAATTGTAAGATAGTTGAATTTTCGCTTCTTCGTAAAAATTAAATTTAAGTGTTGCTTTTCCATTTTTTCTCATATTAAATATTACTTTTTGGCAATAGGCAACAACAACGACGACGACAGCCCCAGACACTGATCCAAGTCCACCAGATGTAACAAATCACCCGAAACTACGTCTATTGAATCATGTAGCGTGCGGGCCTATCAACCAGCAGAAGGTGGTCGGCGGCAGCAAAACTGGAATTTTCCAGTATCCATGGATGGCGTTAATCGAATACGACACCGGAAGACCGAATCCGGAATTTCTTTGCGGCGGCACGATCATCTCCTCGCGTTATATCCTCACCGCTGCTCATTGCGTCATGTCACTTCCAGCGGGTAAGGAAAACTTATATAGCCGTAAACATAACAAAAATTGGTTTAAATATAAAAAAGAAATCAAGGATATAAAAAAAATAAAGTTTGAAAGATATTTGGGTAAATGTTTACAATTAGGGCCTGACCTCCGATGACCTTGACCTTGACATATGTTGTCAAGGTCGCCCTTCTGTACTCCTTAACCTATGTAGATTAGTGACGCGCTTTAAACAGTTAAATATTTGTAAAGCGCGTCATCTAAACTACGTATTTTCCAAACTTTTTTTGTTAATAACTTTTTAACGAATAACGAGCGACGGCTAAAACCTTCTGAAGGTCACTCGGAATCATGACCTTGACAACATATATCAAGGTCATTGAAATCGGTGAGGTCGCCAAATTTTTTTTTGTTAATAACTTTTTAATAAAAAGCGACCCCCGACTAAAACCTTCTGAAGGTCACTCAGGAGGGTGACCTTGACAACATATGTCAAAGTCAAGGTCATCGGAGGTCAGGCCCTAATTGTAAACATTTACCGACATTTGAAATATTTGTTTTTAAGGGAGGTTTATTAATTGTTTCTTGTAATTGGTATAAATTCGTGTAATCCGTATCGTTATTCTCCAGGTCGCAGATTAATAGGCGTCAGAATAGGAGATCACGATATAAGCAAGGAACGTGATTGCGAGAGAGATAACAATGGGCAAGAGGTTTTTTGTGCCGAGCAGTCGGAGCAGTATCAGAATTTCGGCGTGGATAGCGTCCACTTCCATCCGGATTACACGAGAACGAACCTGCACAATGACATCGCGCTTATCAGATTGAACGATTCCGTAAACTTCACGCCTAGGAATGCCAAGCCCATTTGTCTGCCCTTTGGTACTGCGGCGATACTAAATAATAAAAAGGTGAGAGAATAATTAATATACATTCTTTCCACTTAATTCTTCCAGTCAGGAAGTAATAACGGAAGAAGTAGACGAGCAGATTTGCGAGAATTACATTTATTTTATATTTTAAAGTATTCAAATCTACTACTACTAATTTGACAATAACTAGACAAAGCAATATTTAAATAACATTTCTCATATATATATATTCCCTCTCTTTCTCTCTCTTAAATTAGAATATTTTGCAACCATGTCTCTTCGATTCTATAATCCATCAAAGTTTTCCAAGAAACATTCTTTAGTTGTTCCTAAAGAATTTTGTTTTGATATTTAAAGATTTATCTCTCGATTTTATAAAGATTGATTCACTTCTATTTCAAAATTTTTCTTCTGATGGACAGGCTGTAGTGACCGGCTGGGGCGTGACGGAATTGGGTCTGCGCAGTCAGGACCTCCTGCAGGCGAAGTTGCCGCTGATGAACAATGACCAGTGTAAAGAAATATACAAACGGACCACACAGATTTGGTACAAGCAGTTGTGTGCCGGCGGCCAAATGAACGTGGACTCCTGCTTCGGCGACAGCGGTGGACCTCTTCAAGCGGGTGGTATATACAACGGCAGGTCAGTTCGCATCATCCAACACGGCGTAGTCAGCTTCGGACTGGACAGACAGTGCGGCACCGAGGGCTTCCCCGGAGTCTACACCAAAGTCGCTTACTACATGGACTGGATCCTTAACACGATGACAGATTAAAGTGCGACTGAAACGTTGCGGAACGCAAGTTTTTCACAATACTTCTAATCTACGTGTTTGAGATATACTGATGCAAACGCGGTAATCGATCGCGAGATGAGAATGAGAACATAAATTTCACGAGGCATTCGAGAGACAAATAAAATTGAAATTCGAAATATTGGCAGAACAAGTAAAATTGCAGCGGCAGAAAATGATTATATTTGCAATTTTTGTGGAAATAGGTGATTTAGGCGTCTAGAAAAGTGGGTCCATAAGTGAATACCGTTGGTGCGTGTTATTAATAAAATAATTATTGTTGACTTTAAAGTTATTCTTTTATTAGAATAAAGTACCTTACTGCCGGTACAACTTTATTCCATTAGACGGAGATCTTTCGGAATTGTAACGTAAGTTAAATTTGATTATGCTATTTTATTGCATGTGTAATAAGCATATAACGGCTGCATTCGGAGAGCGTGCTATTAGCGCTATTGTATCATTCTATCTTTATCGCTCATTAAATGTAAAACAAGGATAGAATAAGCAAATAGCGCTAATAGCGCGCTCCCCGAATGCAGCCAACATCTTCAATGAAAAGAAAAAAAATAAAAGAGAGAGAGAGAGAGAGAGAGAGAGAGAGAAACGGACGTTTTCTGCTTGCTAATGGATATTTGTGCTAAACCAATGCGTGATTATAATTTATAACATATCATGTTAACATATCATGTTGTTTTTACTCATTATAATATATCGATGATATACGATTTTTTTATAAAAAAAAGATGTTTGTTCCCTAAGAACTCTACAAGACGTATTTGTGTCGTTCGCGATAACACTGGACTTCCCGGAATATATCGCAATCGCTTTAATTTCGTATAATTCTTCGATTAACTCAGAACTCAGAACCGTTCTTTCTCGACAAGTGTCAACATATCAGAAATTTAGCTACACTTATACCCTTATAAATAATTTTATATATGAAAGTATGAAAGATATAAAATGCAGTTTAACATATAAATAATGATTATAAAAGTTGAATAGATAAAAAACTTCCTCCTCAGATATTTTCAAACTGCGTCTTGGTTAGCTAATCAAAGCTTAGCTAATTGTCGTAATATCTAATCATAATTAGTCAAACGTAGGAACCTGACATTCAAAATAATTTCGCAATAATTAGAATTATCGGTTCAATTCATTCTTTGGCAGTGACGTTATCACTGCGAGATCATTCGTCGCTTATACTGAACAATTCCTCGTTACGATCCTCAATCAGTTCCGCCGTCTCGTTGATTGACACCTTCAGCGGCCCGCGATCAACTTTCCTCTTCAACGTCGAAGCCTCCGACTTGGCCGTGGATTTATCGGAGGAATCACCCGACGACTTCGACGATGATTGGCTTGAAATCAGAGTACCGAAAGAACTGGTTAATGATCCGGAATTCGGTCTAGAGTTGCTGGCAAAGCTCAGATACGAATCCAAGCTACTTGACATGGACCTTTTCGATTGCTGCTTTTTCTTCTTTTTCTTTTTTTTCTTCTTTCGGGCATAAGCGCTCTTCGGAGAAGCATTCTGTTGCGCCTTCATGCACGAGCGATTGAAAGCTCTGCAAAGTTTATATGTATAAAGCGTAGTTTACACGATACTTTCTTAGATTAGAACATATTCTAAAAATTTAAAATATCTTAATTTTATCCACTTTATATGTTAATGCGTAAAATGCACAAATAAAATATTAAAATACGTTTACTTCCCAGACAGCATGTATATCCAAAATTGGGACATATGACGTCTTAAAGACATCTTTGAGACATCTTTTAGACGTCTTATGAAATGACGACAAAAATACATCTTAATAACGTCTTATGTCTCGATTTTAGACACGGTGCTATCTGAATTGTCACAGAGAAGACAATCATTAATAAATATATTTAATTAATTCTTCCTTGGAAAAATTATCTAATATCCTGTACTTATCTTGTGTTTGGAACAAGCTCGCGCACGAGCCTGGCCTCGTGATCTAGATGAAAAAGGAACAAATATAACGAATCTGTGTATGGAGAGAGAAATTGTGTACCGTGATTTATTTATCGAAAGAAACTTATAAATGGCAGAAATATTCAATGAATACCAACATTTCTTGCAAGGGTAAGGAAAACTGCCACAAAACCTTACCAGTATTCTTACAACAGAATAGTTAAACGCAGTTTGAATTAAGTGTAATACATATATGACATATAAACTTTCCTTTTTTGGTTACAAGAAATTTAGTTGTATCAAAAACAATGTCAATAATAAATCAATTAATCGGAACGGATCTCTTTCTTGATATTGTAAAAGTCTCTATCTTACAATAATTATTTAGAAGAAAATGTATCTTGTATGGTAATGCGACACTTATGTGAAAGTGAGACGTATCTTGAATTATCTGATCTTATTGTAATAAAGTATAATCAAGCATCAACAGTTTTAAATTCTATCAAGAAAAGAAAATCGTTTCAATTTGAATACACAATACATAATATATATGAAGAAATATACAGCAAAAAATAGTTTAAAGCAAATAAAGCAATAAAATGCATGGAATCAGCGTGTCAATTTAACTGCTCGTAAATGGTTATGTTTCGAAAAATAATGTTCTTTAATCTGCGTGGATTGAGTCCACTAATAACGAGCAAGACAATGAAAGAAAATTAGAACTTGTAAGCTCAAAGAATCTTAATTGGGGATACTGGAGCCGTAGCCGAACTCGATCGGCGTCGGTAAAGAAGACCGGCGAACTATATCTGTCCTTGTATAGACAAAGATATAGACAAGGATAGCACGCTACATTGCACGCACACATACGCACGATGCACGTCGACATTATACTTTTATATTACGCTTCCAAATCTTGATTTGGAGGGTTTATCGATGTTTTTCTTGTTGTGCAATTCGGGGGAACTTGTTTTCGCGTTCGTACCAATGGTATATCTCTTATATGAAATACATCTTGTGACGAGCTGACAGCTTGCCGCAACTCGAGACGCCATATTGGGATAAAAGTAGGATAAGGAAATCTGTACTTCCGTAATTTTTTCTTGTTTTCTATATAAAATCAGAGTTCCCCCGCATCATTAATGTATGTACTGCAATTCTGGAGAAGGATTTTTAATTCTGTCAAATTAATACGACGCTACGTGCCGACAAAAAATGCCGGTAAAACAGACGGCTCCAGCATCCCCTTAACGTTGTTATTACTGATTCATGAGAGCGACGCATATACGCATGTATGTTAGTGTTATCTGAATTCAAATGATATAATAGTTTCGTTTTGATCAAACTTTCTTAAACGCACGCAAGTTGAAGAATTATTTACATTTTGTTATCTATAAAAAGAATTGATTGCAATCGACAAACTGAATAATGTATATAAAAGTTGAATAAGCTCATTTATTAATTGACTCGAAATAAATTGTGCACAACTCTACGATTCACTTGCTCTCGATCGTGATTTCAGCAAGTTGAATTTTGTAACCGTTAGAGAAATAAAGATCCATTGCGGATCCATAATGAACGTTAGATGAATGAAAGTCTAACGTCCGTCCTAATGTAACGTTAGATGAAAGTCTAACGTCCGTACTCGTGAATGTGAAAAAAACGGTTACCTTGTAATAGCAGATCTCATCAGACAATACAGAATAGTAATTATAAATGGTCTCACAAACCATGCCACAATTAGATTTCTCCACAGTTCATAAGTGGCTTCTTGTATTAAACCTGAAAAGGCTTTCTCTGATGTTTCCAAAATGGCTGCTTTCCTCGTGTCTGGAAGCGTCGCCGGAACATTCCAACAGTGTCTGTGAAGTTGGCATATCATTTTCCAGCAGATCAAAAATAAAAGGCAGTTTTTGTCGCATGCAGTCGAGTTCTATAGTTCCTGATATTTTTTAGTAATAGTTCTGGTGATTTTATCCAAAAAACAGTCGATCGAAAAAATGATCTGCTAACTTCCCGTAGCAGATCATTTTCTAGCAAATCAAAAATAAAAAAGAGTTCTTGTCGCATGCAGTCGAGTTCTATAGTTCTTGATACTTTTTAATAATAGTTCTGTTGATTTTGCCAAAAAAGTCCATTGAAAAAATTATCTGCTAATTTTCCGAAATCTCGGAGTTCCGGTTTATTTAAAATATTTTTTGAATAGTTCTGAGCATACTGAAGCATTTTCTAAAGAGTTCCTGACATTAGCAATGTTGTACCATTGTTTAAAAAATTAATACCGCCCAAAAACCGAGTACTTAGAGAGAATAGTGTGATATGTTGTACGAAATATCGCAGTTCCGGTTTATCTAAAATATTTTTCAAATAGTTCTGAACATACTAAAGCATTTTCTAAAAAGTTCCGACCCTGGCAATGTCGTATGATTGTTTTCAAGCGGTATTAATTTTTTAAACAATCATACGACATTGCCAGGGTCGGGAACTTTTTATAAAATGCTTTAGTATGTTCAGAACTATTCGAGAAATATTTTAGATAAACCGAAACTGCGACATTTCGTACAGCATATCACCCTATTCTCTCTAAATACTCGGTTTTCGAGCGGTATTAATTTTTTAAACAATCATATGACATTGCCAGGGTCGGGAACTCTTTAGAAAATGCTTTAGTATGTTTAGAACATTCGAGAAATATTTTAGATAAACCGGAACTGCGACATTTTGTACAGCATATCACCCTATTCTCTCTAAATACTCGGTTTCCGAGCGGTATTAATTTTTTAAACAATCATACGACATTGCCAGGGTTGGGAACTCTTTAGAAAATGCTTTAGTATGTTTAGAACTATTCGAGAAATATTTTAGATAAACCGGAACTGCGACATTTTGTACAGCATATCACCCTATTCTCTCTAAATACTCGGTTTTCGAGCGGTATTACATTTTTTAAACAATTATACAACATTGCCAGAGTCAGGAACTCTTTAGAAAATGCTTTAGTATGTTCAGAACTATTCGAGAAATATTTTAGATAAACCGAAACTGCGACATTTCGTACAGCATATCACCCTATTCTCTCTAAATACTCGGTTTTCGAGCGGTATTAATTTTTTAAACAATGGTACAACATTGCTAATGTCAGGAACTCTTTAGAAAATGCTTCAGTATGCTCAGAACTATTAAAAAAATATTTTAAATAAACCGGAACTCCGAGATTTTGGAAAATTAGCAGATAATTTTTTCAATGGACTTTTTTGGCAAAATCAATAGAACTCTTATTAAAAAGTATCAAGAACTATAGAACTCGACTGCATGCGACAAGAACTCTTTTATTTTAGATTTGCTAGAAAAT